GTCTCCTCCCACCGCCGGGGCAGGGGTGCCTAGAGGGAACCGCCAGCTGGCAGTTCTCTCGGGGTGGGGGTAGGGCCCTCCCCCGCCCCCAGACCAATCAGGGCCTGTGGGTGGGGAGCACGGAAGAGTCCTGGCCCCGCCCCTTCCACCTTAGGCCCCGCCCCTTCCAGGGCAGCTCGGGGCTACTTTAAACACTTTTGAAGTGGCCCCCAGTCGAAAATTATTGCCCACCCTGTCCTGCCCCCAAGCCAGTCCCTCTGCGGGCTAGTTCAGTGGGCACCGGACCCAGCGTAGGGGTGTCTGGCCACTGGGCTTTAACTGAGTCCTGGCTCCGGGCCCCTGCCATTCTACCCACTAGACCTCGCGCTCCGCCCAGGCTAGGAATAGAACCCAGAGCTATGTCTACACTCACGGCTTCTTGCACGAGAAATATGCAAATGAGGCTGAGCGTGGAATATCGCCGAGCCTCATTTGCATACCTAATGAGCTGCCATTTTGCAGAAGAGGCTCTTGCGCCGGAAGGAGCTGGCTACACTGCTCCTCTTGCGCAAGAAACCCCCTCTTGTGCAATGCCGTTATTCCTGAAAATAATCGGCGTAACAGCATTGTGCAAGAGGGGGTTTCTTGCGCAAGAGGAGCAGTGTAGCCAGCTCCTTCCGGCGCAAGAGCCTCTTCTGCAAAATGGCAGCTCATTAGGTATGCAAATGAGGCTCGGCGATATTCCACGCTCAGCCTCATTTGCATATTTCTCGCGCAAGAAGCCGCGAGTGTAGACATAGCCCAGGAGTCCTAAGTTCTAGCCCCTCTGCTGTGACCACTGGACTCTGCTCCCTTCCCACAGTCAGAGGTAGAACCCAGGAGTCCTGACTCCTACCCCACCCCACTGCCATTCTACCCACTAGACTCCCCCCCCTTCCCTCCCATTCTTAGGCATAAATCCAAACCACTCCTGGCCCGTGTAGCTGCGTTTGCTTCGTTAGAAATGCGATCGTCAACTTCATCTGAATCCTTAATTGGCGCTTCAGACGAAGGAGCCTTGGGAGGGGAAGGGGATCTCCAGGCTGTGGGACTGGTGGAGGGAAGCCGCTCTAGAGATGTTCATGCCACTGGCGATGTATTGGCGTCCTACTCGGCCCCTTTGTTGTTCCAGTCCATCCCTCTGTCCCTGTTCCCAGCATGTACCTGGCTCACCACAGAGCCTGCCTGGGTGCTGAGCCATGGGGCAGCATGCCCTAGAGCCGCTCCTGAAACTGAGGCCTGCTTTTGTCCTTCAGGATGGGAAAGTCGTGGACGGAGTCTGGGTCATCAAGAACTTGCACGGTCCTGAAGCTTGGCATTAGCCGGCCCACAGACACGCAGCCGTGAGCTGGGCAGAGGGATTGCAGCCCCCTGAACCCGTGAGGTCCCGCTTCTCAGGCTGGAATGAGAACTGCTTACGCACTGCAAACGAATCTGGTTCAATCTCAGGGCTCTGATGTACGGCACTGGAAGGACACGCCTTCCCCTGCAGCTGGGGAAAACCTGCTGGTTGGTCTTTATAATGATGAAAAGCCCTTTCATGTACCTGACCATCTCAGAGCACTATATACAGGGGGGCTGTGACTGTGTATTCCCAGGTTCCAGGTGGGGAAACTGAGGCACTGAGGAAAAAAAGAAATCAAAATCCTAGATTTAGGGGGTCTTGATTTCTAGTCTTCCCTGCTTTAATCATTAGGCCCCATCCCCCTGTCTGGGCCAGGAATTAGAATCCAGGCGTCTTGACACCCAGTCTTTTCTTCTTGCCACTGGCCCGTTCTGCCTCTTACAAAATAGCCCCATCGATCTAAAAGGTTCTCCCGGCATTGCCTGGTGCATTGCCACTGATAATCCTGTCACCGCTGGAGCCTTGTGCGGGGAGGGGGATCTGGGATCGGATGATTTTCTTGCCTTATCTTTGTTTTTTCCTGCATGAGCCAAGACTCGTCCCAGGGTTTCTCCCCTCCTGCTGGTCCCTGTCATGCAGTAAGCCCTACGAGGAGCTGATGGCACTAGACTTGCCTTTTGACATCGAGCAAGAGTGGCCCCGCTGAAGTTGGCGATCGTTCTTTGGGGTCAGACCCCTGTATGTGGGGCGGGGGGAGGGAGGCAGCACGTGGCCCATGGTGCATCCCTGGTATTCTTTGTGTGGCCTCTGATGATGCTTTGTGCTACACACTGGATCTTTTGCACTGATGCTTGGGAAATTAACTAAACAAAATCAGCCTTAAAAGGTATGTGATGCCTATCTCCTGTGGACCCCACTGGGTTGCCTTTGGGGCCTTGACTGCCTGTACCTTGGCAGAATAAAAGCAAATGCCTAATTCTTCAGAATACCAGGATGTGGTTTGTCCGTATCTGGCCGAGGGATGTGAAGAGGCGAGAACTGTGAATGTAAAAGGGCAACTGGTTGGTTTGTTACCTGGTAAGTATTATCCTTACCAGGTGATGCTTACCAGTAACTGGTTAACTGGCGACCTAGCTGGGCTGTGGCATTCTCTCTCCCCATCCCTCACTCACTGCCCCCCGTGCCTGTGGGCTGTTCCAGGTTGGCTGGACCTGCTGTGTTGCACTGTGGGTGGGGGCGTGCTCCATGATTAACCGGTTTACCATAGTGATTGGTTAACCATCGTGTTTAACCGATTCACTCTGTAATTGTCAGTTTACATCCCTAGTGAGAACACTGGTTCCCAGGCTCAAATCTCGTGCCTGGCAGGGGTACGGAAGGAATCTCGATAAATTCCATGTGGGTGACCATTTGTTTGTCACTGATGCTCAGTGAAATCACAGCTGGAAACTCTTTAGCTAGGTTTCAGCTTTGCCCCTCTGCTGGGTTCCCAATTTCCTCTCCTGACTTGGAGCTTGCTCATTAGCACAGATCCCATGGAGACATCATGCACAGGGAGTCAGTCCAGGAGTTCTAGAGCTTTTGGTTGGGTTTCGGCAGGGCTGGAAACCCCCCTGCTACAGGTCATGAGGTGACCTCTGACTATAGGGGTCAGCAGGGGCCTTCCCGAGGAGGGGGAGGTGACTCCATTAAGCTGTCCACTGGGTGGGGAAAGGTCTCTTGCATCCCTTCTCTGAACCAGCTGGGAGAGGCAGAACTCTGGGTGAGGGAGGGCTCCATGCTCCCAGCCGGCCTCTGTTCCCAGGAGCTTTGGAGATGGGCTGGGATTTGCCAAAGGTGCACAGAGCTGGCTGGGGGCTGCTGATCCCTGCTGCTGGGAGGAGTGTCCAAGGGCTGTGGTGCTGAACCTGTGCCCCGCCTGCCCTAGGCTTTGTTGGCAACCCCTCCCCAGGGCCCTTGAGGGTTGGGGGAAGTGGAGCTCGATATGGGACTGGGGGAGGGGAGAGCAGGGCTGAAAAATGTGCCCCCCCCCTCCCTAAAAGCTCTGTGGATTGGCCACTCTAGCCCAGGCATCACATTAACCCTAAACACGAGATAGTTTGGACACCTGCTGACCCCCTGCACAGCACAGGCCTGTGAGCAGTGAGCCTGGTACTGGGCTGAATGAGGCATGGTGCCCCCCAGGCTGCGATGCCGGCACCATTGCTAATTCTGCCGTGATGGAGGGTGCTATCCCAGCCACTGCTCTAAGGCTAGACCCAGGCAACTCACCAGCACTCACGCAGCTGCTGGCAGAGATCTGCTGCAGCTGGAATGTCTCTGCTGCCGAGCAGCTCACTGCGATCTCCCCGAGCCCAGGAAATTCCTCTGCCAAGTCCCCGGACTTTGAATGGGCAGGAGCACGGGTCAGCAGAGCCGGCCCGCACACGCCTAGGGGGTTTTATTCATCCGCTTTCTCTTGCTGTGCAGTGTGCCCAGTGAGGGTGTGGGGTGGAGGAGCAATTTCCCCATAATAATGTTACTTTCTCAGCAATTTTTAGCCTGCGATCTCAGAGCACCTGCCAGGGGGAGGGCTATAATTTACTCCCGTCCCCCCCAAATCGCACCCTCATTTTGCTGATGGGGAAAGTGAAGCACAGAGTGGGGAAGTGATGTGCTCCAACAAGTCAGCAGCAGAGAGAGGCATGGTACCCAGGTGTCCCCTGTGTTACTCATCCTGACTTGTAGCACCCTTTCTAACCACTGGACTTCACTGCCTCCTGGAGAGAAGACTAGAACTCAGGAACTTTAATCCCCAGTCCTCCCATGCTCTAACAGCTAGGCCCTACTCCTCTCCCAGAGCTGGCCTCAGAACCTAAGAGTTCTGGCTTTCCCTTCCTCTAACCACTAGGCATTTTACAGCTCAGCTTTTTTGTAGTTCTGTCAATGCTGTGGGAATCCACAACAGACTGATTAACCTTTCAACAGTACAAAGGAATAAAAAAACCACTAAATATCGGACTGACGCCAAACCATTACAATTCTATTCCTGCTTGTCACACAGATTGGGTGTGTGTGGGTGTGTGTGTGGGTGTGTGTGTGGTATAGCATATTTCCCATCCCCTACTATAGAGGGACAGCTGTCAAGCACCTTTATCCTGGTATAAGGTTTGTACTGCTTTGACCAGACTAGGACAAGGCCCCAGTCTCTCGTTCGATTATTTATTTGTATTAAGGGACCATCCAAGCATCCCAGTTGAGCCCCAGGACCAGTGTTCCCGCTAATCTTTTCCATCCATGTGCGAAATAGATTGTTTTATGTCCACCACCAGTAGAAATGAAACCTAGCTGTGGGCACTCTGCTCATCAACTGGGTGGTGTTTGAATCTCTGCTGCACACATGGCAGGACCCAGCACCATTTAATCATCCCTGATAGATATTTGTTTAAACTGTTCTTAAATATCTCCAGTGATGGAGATTCCACAACCTCCCCAGGCAATTTATTCCAGTGCTTAACCACCCTGAGAGTTAGGAACTTGTTCCTAATGTCCAACCTAAACCTCCCTTGTTGCAGTTTTAAGGCCATTGCTTTTTGTCATAATAACATAAGAACGGCCATACTGGGTCAGACCAAAGGTCCATCTAGCTCAGTGTCCTGTCTGCCGACAGTGGCTAGTGCCACATGCCTCAGAGAAAGTGAGCACATCACGTAATTATCAGGTGATTCCTCCCTTGTCATCCATTTCCAGACAAATAGAGGCTAGGGACACCATTCCTGCCCATGATGGACCTAACTCCATGAATTTATCTAGCTCTTTTTTGAACCTTATTAAAGTCCTAGATTTCACATCATCTGGCGAGGAGTTCCACAGGTTGACTGTGCACTGCATGAAGAAAAACTTCCTTTTGTTTGTTTTAAACTGCTACCTATTAATTTCATTTGGTGACCCCCTAGTTCTTATGGGAACAAGTAAATAACTTTTCCTTATTCACTTTTTCCATACCAGTCATGATTTTATTACCTCTATCATATCCTCCCTTAAAGTCTCCTCTTTTCTAAGCTGAAAAGTCCAAGTCTTTTTAATCTCTCTTCATATGGGACCCAGTCCAACCCCCTAATCATTTTTGTTACCCTTTTCTGAACTTTTTCCAATGCCAATGTATCTTTTTTGAGATGAGGCGACCACATCTGTACGCAGTATTCAAAATGTGGGTGTTCCATGGTTTTATGGAGAGGCAAGAAGATATTTTCTGTCTTATTCTCTCTCCCTTTTTTAATGACTCCTGACGTTGTTTGCTTTTTTGCCTGCCGCTGCACACTGAGTGGATGTCTTCAGAGAACTATCCACGATGACAACAAGATCTCTCTCTTGAGTAGCTGTAGCTAAATTAGTCCCCATCATTGTCCTATCATCAGACGTCAAGGAGAACAATTTTTCTCCCTCCTTGTGACACTCTTTTAGGTACTTGCAAACTGCTCTCATGTCCCCTCAGTCTTCTCTTTTCCAGGCTAAACAAACCCAGTTCCTTCAGTCTTCCCTCACAGCTCATGTTCTCTAGGCCTTCGATCATTTCTCTTGCTCTTCTCTGGACCCTCTCCAGTTTGTCCCCGTGCCCAGAGCTGGATCCCGTTGCCCAGCGGAGGCCTGGTCAGCACGGAGCCTTGCAGAGTGGGGGCGTTGCAGCCGTGTCCTGCTGCGGCGTTGCATGGCCGAGGGGATGCGCCGTGGCCAGCGCAGCCCACGGTGGCTGGATGACATCACGCCTCTTTGGGATGACCTCAGAGCACCAGGCCATGGGCTCTGGTGACATCATTGGGGTGCCATGGCAACACCACGTGCTGCCCCCCGCCCTTTCCCCGGGCTGACCGCACTCTCCTCGGGAGGCGGTGACGTCCCCTTTAAGATAAGACCCTCCCTTTTCCTTCTCTCATCCACCAGCCAATCAGGACACGCAAACCCGCGCGCCAATCCCCTCCTCGCGCCAGCCCTCCCCCAGTGGGCAGCCTGCGGCAAGCG